AGATTATAAAATTAAACATGTCCAGTCCTATACAGTTACCTGTGGTGGTCCTCAGAGCTCCATCCTCGGTTCCCTCATGTTTTTATTTATTATGTTTTGTCTGTTTTCTGGAAATGTAACATTAAGTATCTCTGCTAAACTAATGACACCCTGCAGTTTTTTTTTCTGCCGGAACACTTCTACACTTCCATCATGACAGAATATGACAGATTAGGAACTATTTTATAATTATTAAAAAAAAAGTCATACTTGACATTATTCTAGAACAGATTTGTTTATTTTGAAGGCTTAATGAAATAACGACCTCATTAAATATTTAGTTTCCAGTATGGGAGCTTCATGATGATGATGATGATGATGATGAGGATGATGATGATGCCTTTATTGTCATTGTACGGAGCACAATGAAATTGCATTTAAGAACACACATTCAAGAAGACACACATGACAAAAACATGGGGGAACAGGTGATCAGGTCCCGGCAACCAGCAGGGGTTGAACTTTAAAAAAAAAATACCACAGAAGCTTAGATGAGAAAAAAAAAACATTTTACATCAATGAAATATGATGGACTATGATGTAAAAGGATGAAGCTAGCATGCAGGTTTTTGGTTTGTGGTAGGAAACAGGAGTAGCTAGAGAAAACCACATGTGCACGAGGAGAAGAATGTGAACTTTACACAGAAAGGCCTCAGGCTGGAGAAGACCATCTTCCTGTGAGACAACAGCTTTAACTAGTCCCTGAGTTAAAGCTAACAGTGCATGTTGCACACGTTGTGAATGACTCTCCAACACGTTTAATAAATTGACTGTTATGAAGCTTTTTTGTCTTTCATATGTTGACAATCTTTAGTAGATGAACATCCACTGAAAGTTTCATTAACATCCTTCTAGTGCGTCATGTGATATTTTGCTAACAGACAATTAGAGCTGACTGTAAAACCTTAAAGAGGCGGCATTATGTATTTTCCAGGCACATAGTTCAGTTCTGTACCACAAACAGTAACTATTATACCTTGAGTTGTTGTGAAAATTCTGTATATATCAAAAATGATTGTGGCTTTGCATCGTACACTGCAAAAACTGTCCATGTAACCAAGTTTTAAAATCTTATATCAGCCAAAAAGTATTTTTGTCTTTTTTTGAGACTGATTTACTAAACAATAACAGAAAGTATAATACAGTTTTTATTGACTGATTTGACCTGTTTGAAGGAACTGGGAACCTCTCAGTCTTCATCATCACCATCTCAGCAGAGCAGAAGACACCTCTTCCAATGTGTTAACCCATTTTCATAGGACTGACATAGTTTTCCACCCTTTTGCAAAACAGTTAACGCAGATGTCATTCAAGAAGTCCAAACTCCCTTTTAGCTGTCAGTATGAAACACAGAAAGCACCTGTTTGACACTTCTTCACAGACTTTTTTAATTTGTAGTCAATCAGTCTGCACACCTGAGTTGTTCTCTTGTACTCTTATAATAATGTTGTTGTTTTTTTTTTCCTCATCTGTCCTTGTGTGGTTTTTAGTTTTTTTAGGATGGTTGCACCTCCTCATGATGTCTTCATGAAGATGATCCTTGCTCTGTGCAGGGTCAGTGGGTGCATGACCCAGAGTACCTGTTCTCCTATGTTTGTTGTGTTCTGTCTTCTTATGAATGGGTGTTCTGAACTGTAATTTCTTTGTGTTCTGTACAATGTACAATAAAGGTCTAATTTAAAGGCCTGTTGTAGATTTTTG